TTTTCTCAATGATATGTGAATTATCCAACTCGTTTCAAAATGCAATTTGCTCAAAACCCCAGACAGTTTTAAAATATTGCGAACTTGGAGCGTAAGTCTTCAACTATTTTATTGGCTGGCTCGAGGTCCGGTCTTATTAAAATAAAAAGTTTTAAAAATTTAGTTTAATATTTCTCCAATATATTTAGTCTGTAGTCTTGATGTTGGATCCTGTGTTAGTGTTCTATACGCTCATAAGTCGTCTAAAATATTTTTATCATTTTATTTTTGTAATCGTCCTGATCTGTTGGTAGTGTTTTGTTGCCCACATCCGACGATAAAATTTTAATATTTATATTTTCTTTTAAGAATTTACGTGTCTGTTCCACTGTGTCCAGTATTCCTTGATCACTAGAATTTTGGTTATTCTTAGTTTTAAGCTCTTACCAATAAAGATAATTCAGTACGTTGCGACATTTATGTTTCTTTTTCTATTATCGATTAACCGTCTTCAATGTATTTTAGGAGAGTAAAATCTTTTTTACTTATGAACCACTCTCTTTGAGTGTTGTCCGCTTAGCCAAGATTCCGTTGACCTCGTAGCTTTGGTGTTTCGTTTCTTGCCTTTTCTGAAGTGTTGTTCTTACTTTGTTTTCTATATTTCTCTCGCTTTCAAAAAACGCTTTGGCGTCATCTGTGAGCATCAGTTGATCTATGTTTGTTTTTGTTATTTCCATATGTTTTGTTTGTTTTTGTTATTTCCATATGTTTTATAAGTAAGTTTAATATTTTGGTGTGGTACAAATGTGTGTGTCTAGTCAAAGGAACTATAGTGTTTACATAGGCACAAAGAAATCCAAAATTAAAACAAGGATTAGTCAATATAAATTGAACTTCAAATTAAGACATCAAAATAATTTACAAAAACAAGAAAAGGTTCTAGTCGGGAGCTCCCAACTAGGGAATACCCGAAACACTCTTCTACCAACACCAAGTGCAGCTCGCGCTACGAGCTCGTTTGCTGTAGTAGTAATAAAATAATTTAAAAAAAAAAAAAAAAGAGTTCCCTCGGTAGGACTCGAACTCGTAACACAACACGCAGCTTGCAACCGCCTCTACTTAACAGCCCCACCAACAATTGAGTCTTAATGAGAAAAAAACGGATTAAAATAGCCGTACAGAAAAGAATACATTCGCAATTGCTGCAATGCAAGAACGAATTCAATAAAGACGCGCGTGAATGTGTGTATACATGTATAAAGAAATTCTTGCGCTTTGCGCTAACTACAGCTGACACGTAGACTGCCAATATATATAACCGTTTTCTTTAATAACTTCTGTGTTTCTTAACCGATCTTAATGAAATTTTCAGCAGTAGATCCTATTGTACTGTAAACAGTGAACATTAATGGAATTTTTGAAAGTCGCCAGCCACTACATCTTATGTTGTAACGCAATAATAGTATAAGACATTAATATGTCCTTTTTGTAAATAGAAGTTGGACACTCTAAGAAAAGAAGATGAGAACACGTGGTGACGCCGACTCATAAAATTAATATGGAAATCCAGAAAATAAAAATAAAGAAGATAACAAATCAGGTGTGGAGCTTACCAAAAATTACTCTGATTATGCTATACCGATATCATAAAGTTGAAAAAATTAGAGCTTAAGCAGCTGCTTGCGGAGAAAGGAGTCCCTGTGCAACGAAGCGTCTATCTACCAGTTGCGTATTCTGGTGAAATCAGTAATGACCGACACTGTTGGGACATTGCGTGTCGCCGGAGAAGAGTTCCCGAGTACATCACGAGCTGTGGATCTAAATGCTGAAAAATTTAAGTCAGGTCCACTTTTGGAGCAGCCATCTGAAATCGAGCTGCCTGAAGAGTTGGTTGAGGATGAACCTGGCCATGTGAGCCCTCTAATGGCTGGTGCGAATGTCGCAAATTTAGAAGCGAATGATTCACCTTGTACACTGCTCGCAAAAATCTTGCAGAGCTGAAGCCACGTGTTAACGAACTGGACAGCGGAGTTGAGGTACCCAATCGACATGGCCGTGTGGATATCTGCTGGTCCCTTGCCAACTACTACGCGGCTCAGCCAAGGAGTATGTGATGGCGAACACATGGATGGAGCTAAGTGAGCTAAGCAGACGTAGTCAAGTATATAGTTGACGGACTTGGAGACCATTCAGGATACGCCGCTTCGCTATATTATTGCACTTCGTTGAACGAATTAAAAATTGATGCGATACCAGACAGTCATATTTGAAAATGAATAAAAAAAACATCTACCTTTTGGGGATCTGTTGCAGTACGCGCCTCTAATGGCGTCACAATGAGTGCACTTCGTGAGAACAGATGTTACAGCTGCCGTTAAATGGGGCATCTGAGCAAGTATTGCGTACGTCCAAAAAGACCGGAAAGAGGATGCTTTAATTGTTTTAAAATTGGCCACCATACAAGCAGTGCCCGAACCGAGCCTAAATTGCTGCAATGGGTACAAATTATGAGGAGGACGCAAACGATACATCCTTTAGTAAGACTACCTTGTAAAGGGGGATGCACCGAATACACATATACCGAATGCACAATATATGCATTGTTAGACGCCGGAAGCCCTTTATGCTTTGCGAGCAAATACTTGTTTCCTCATAAAGCGATAAATGCCAAAATGGAAAGTAGTCATCTCCGTGGACTGAGGGGCAACCCGAAGTTGAAGTTTTTGTTACTCACGATTTTGTTTTACCAACACCGTTGCTGCTCGGCATAGATGTTCTCCGAATTTTTAAACTTAAACTTGTAATACAAAAAAAATGTTGAATAAAGTTATTTTAGTTAATAATACTGTAGCACTAGTATTCAAATTGTTTGGTGTACCCCTGGTAGCTAAGGCTTTACAATGTAGTAATAGTGACAGTAAATATAGCTAGGGAATTTGGTCTTGACCCGCCGCTGATTTGTCGGCGAATTGTGCATAAACATTAAGCAGATAAGTTCTCGGATAGTTGCGGGCCACCCTGCAGAATTGCTTGAGGATGAATCTGGCCATGCGAGCCCTCTAATAGCTGGTGCGAATGTCGGTAATTTAGAAGCCGCGAATTTGTCGGCGAATTGAGCATAACCATTATACAGTTGCATTTAACATTCGATTATCAGACACGACCCCATTTCAAAGGCGCCCTCGCAGGCTATCATATAACGAAAAAGAGATTATTACTGACACCGTAAACGAGCTCCCTGGAAAGGAAATTGATTCGGCCTAGTAGTTCACCGTATGCGTCTACTGTTGTGGTAGTAAAGAAAAGGGTGGAAAAGTAAGGAAGTGTTCTGACTACCGTGGGCTAAATAAGAAAACCGATCCAGACAATTTTCCGTTTCGTCTAATAGAGGATTGTTAAGAATATTTGGAAAGAAAGACAGTGTTCTCTACGATAGATTTAAAATGATTCACCATGACGGGATTTGGGGTTTGGCCTTAAAAATGGTCCTGCAGTATTTCAAAGTAGCAGTATTTCATTTTTGATGTGTTAAAGAATATGGTAAGAGCCGACAAATTATGGTGTAAATGGATGATGTTATTTTGGCTAAGGACACCATTAAATGTTAGCCTAATTGTTAGATCGCCTGATAGGGTATAACCTTGAAATTAACTTAAAAAAGTTCAGGTTTGTACAGAAATGAATAGATTATTTGGGATATAATGTTGGCGCTTTAATAATTTTACCGAATGATGAACATATTAAGGTTATTCAGTATTACCCAAAACAACGTAATTGTAGAGCATTGCAGTCGTGCTTAGGTTCATTTTCCTATTTTCGCAAGTCTATTCCGAACTTTTCGCGTATAGCGAAACCCTTGACATAATTATTAAAGCGAAGTGGTCCTTTTCCCATGTCAGTGCAGGCATGTCGTTTGTGACACTGAGATCCTCCCTTGCTACTCCACCTGTGCTATCAATATTAGACCTAGCTTTGAAACTGAGCTGCATACCGGTGCCAAGTCACATGGTTTTGGCGCGGTATTGATGCAGCGACAGTCTGATAATAAATTACAACCTGTCTTTTTCTACTCCTGAATGGCAACGGGTGCCGAGTCTCGATACCATAGCTTTGAACTGGAGACCCTAGCTATATTCTATGCTTTAAATCGATTACATGTGTACCTAGAGCATCGCGCTTTCCTTATTGTTACCGATTCCGACTCCCTAGTTCAAACCTTGAGTAAAAACTCTATACACCCCCGTATCGCCCGATCGTAGTAGATTTAGAAGCTTTATACTGTGGTGACGCCGACTCATACAATTAAAAAAAAAAAACCAAAAAAAACGATAAAATATAAAAATAAAGAAGATTACAATAGGAAATTTTATTACCCGATTTTCCTATTGAAATTGAACATTGAAATAGTACACCCCAGAAGTAAGGTGCGTAACGAAATTATTCGAAACTATCAAAATATAAATATTATTTTAATAGTATACATTAGAAATAGAATCAAAATCTTTATCTTTCTAAATACTTAATATTTTTCTTCTCTACTTCAAAATTGTTATATCTAATATTCTCTTGATCCAAACAAGCCTAAAAATTTAAATAGGAAGTTTACTTACCTGTTTTTCTTACTGAAATTTCATTTTAAAATAGTATACCTTAGAAATAAATCAAAATAATCTCCTTTCTTAAATACTTAATTTTTCTTTTCCCTGCTTAAAAATTGAAATCTCTTGATCTAACATGCCTAAAGAATTGAAATAAAATACTAAAATTAAATTTATTAACTTCCAGTTGGCCCAAACATACTTTACAAAATAAATTCTATTGTCTTCCTTTCTACTGAGATCTGTATTTTTTAACTCTAATATACTCAATGCTCATCATTTTGTTGTTAAATATCAACATTTTTTCTTGATCCAAGCATAATATATAATATCAATGCTAAATTTTATTTATCAAAGTATGCCATGTAGCCAAAATTTCAATTTTCTCTAGGTTCATATTTAGCAAAAAAATCAGTCTGTTTTATAAATTTGACTAGAGCGTACAAAAATATTAAGAAATTTTTCAGCATTATTAACACAGTATCTTCCAAAATGTTTTGCGAGTGATCAAAGGAGAAAACCGGACTCAACAGCGAATTATAAATTTCGCGTAGAGCATCGTTAAATCTTTCTCAATACTTCCTCTCGTCAGCTACATATTGTGTTCTGGTCTTGGTATCTACATCATTTTATTCACTTTTTAGCCTTCTGCTAGCCCATTTCCGTTTATACGCAGGTGCTGATTTGCAAACCAGCCTGCTACTGGCCAACAATTGTTTGTCTCAGACACCGGGGGCCCTGTCTTAAACCCAGGAACAGCCTAGGTTAGCAAACTTACCCAGTACGTAGTACAAGCGTACCTGACTACTAACTAGACGCAAGTATGCTCATAATACAGATGGTTGCTGTATATTCTGCAAACAGTTTGTAAAGACCAGAGCTATCAGCTGGCCAAAGGACATTGCATTCTTTGTAGTTTCCCAGATATAGCTATTTTTCTGAAAAGGATATTTTATTTATAGCTAAAACAAATAAATTTGTACTATCGATTGGACATTTGCAAAGATGTGGTCGAGTTCTGACATCCTTTGTCCAACATTCGTTGGCATGACAATTCTGAATATGCAATTAAAAGGACAAAATTCCTAAATAGTATTTGCTTGGACCACGGCTATCAAGGACATCAGAATCGTCTTAGTACTTTTTGAAAAATCTAGGATTTATAAGGAATTTTAATTTTGGTTTAACAAATTTAATATTTGCTACTATATATTTCCGAGTGTACGAATAGAAATCTCAATCTTTTTTTTTAATAAAACAATTAAAAACGCAACTCAACCTATCGTTATGTCTTTTGTTTTTTATTTTGCACATACATATACTGACATACATACTAATTCATATATCGTTTTTATTATAATTCTCTATTAGTTGCATTTGGATTTTTTCTCTCTGGGCTTAACATGTTTCCTATTATTTGCCCGTTTCATAGCTGTTGCTTTGCTTTCCGATTTTGGGATTATTTTATACTTTAAAGAATTTTTTTAATTTTTCTGCTTTGGTTGAATGAGTAACTTTTTTGGAGATTCTCGAATGTGACTTAAGAAGTAAACATAACTTTTATAAAATTAAAAAAAAAAAATATATCGAAGTAAACCACTTCAGAAATGTTTAAACATAATTGGAACATTATTCTTCTTATACGATTATACTCCTTAAGAGCTCCTTTAACATATTTTTAAGACTCTCGTGTTGCAATCGATGTTATTTTGGTTTCAGTTGCCACTGGGCCATTATATTAGTTATATGTCTTTTTTACATTCAACTACATCGACATTCAATTTTGTGATACATATCTAATTAATTATATATAATGTGGGTTGCTTACTTTTCGTACTGCCCATGCACATATCTTGATTGAACCTTAGCTATATTAGTTGATCAACTGAACGACGGCTTTCTCTGTTCGCTATCTTTTTCAATGTTTAGTTATTTTTTTTATAAATATTCTATTATTTGTTGTATATTTATTTAACGATATGTTGGTATACAAACTTTATAATACCCTGACTAATTTAGGTATAGCTTTAGACACCACGACTTGGCAATTTTCTATTTGCTGAGCATTTGGCCAAATATTGTTGCCACAGAAAACACTAAATTTCAAGAGTTCTTGTATGGAAAGAAGTGGGATTGAAAATTGCCAAAATATATGTCCATTTATAATCAGAGGAGCAAGCTCTAGAAAATAGACACTGAAAGCTTTATAGTTTGTCAGCCACGCGTCGAATTCGCCGAAACTTAAAAAGGAGAAAATTGTTAGAAATTTTTCTGTAAACTATAACTTGATACTAACGGGTAGTTTCGAAACTGAAAACGAATATATGAACAGCTAAAGTTATTTCATGAAGATATATTTTAAATATGAAACAAAACTCCAAATACATATTTCGCGCTTTGGGAATCCATCACATGACTGTTAGGCGTTTAGTTTCATCATGTTTGTGGCACATTCAAAAGAGAGTGTTTAGTAGCTACACACACACACACACCTAAGAACTCTCACACTTACACACACACACACATCCACGCACAGCATACACACACATACCCAATAGAACCGAGACATATACACATTTATTTATTTATAGGTCGTAGCTGCATGAAATCCTAACTAAAATTGTAACTACTTTGTCGCATTTACTGGCCAAGTTTTGCTGGACTGAGCACCAGCTCCGGCTCCAGTTTGCTAGGCTGTGGTGGCGGTGCCAGCAGCGAGCTACCACGACCCTTCGTTAGGCTGGCGGATGACAGCTGTGATTTGCGCTCTATGCTGCCAAATATGGAGGTCGTCACCGTCGCCGCCGCCGATGTGGCCGTTATCGAGGAGGATGTCGCTGGCTGCGTCGCCGGCAACGGCTGCAATATGCTCAGACTTGTAATGGGCATTGACGACGGCTCCAGCACCTGGCCAGGTATGCTGGTCTTCGCAGTCGGCGTTGTGGTAGCCGTCGGCGGCGCCGGCAGCGGCAACAAACTGATCGTCGTTGTGGTGGCCGGAACGACAGTCCCGCTCATGCGGCTGGCAGGCATGGCATACCCGGGACTGGAACCGGTCAACGTCATGCCCAGCGGACCACGCACTGTCGCTGTCGCGGAATAGGTGTGCGGCAGCGCCGGCGGCAGATCGTAGCTTGTGGGTTGCGACTGGGAACTAGTAAGACGTGTGCGGTAGCTGCTGCTGCTGCTGCTGTTGGTGGTGGTGGGCGTTGTCTTGGGCGTGGCGCCCGTTGAGATGCCCGGTCGCTGCGCGGGCGTGCTAAATGCTGCGGTATTGCTTTTGAGCCGGGGTATGGCGCCGGTGCTGCAGCTGCTGGGCAGTGGCGTGGCCTCGGCCGTCGTCGTTGGCGCGACTACAGTTGTGTCTATAAGTGAGGTCTCCTCCACAATCACAACGCCATCCAGCGAATCTTTGACGGTGGAGGAGGAGGACAATGACTGCGATTGCTCCAATTGTGGTTGTGGTTGTTGTTGTTGTTGTTGTTGCGGTTGATGTTGTTGATGCTGCTGTTGATGCTGTTGTCGCTGCTGCTGCAGTGCGACCCGCTGACGTACCAATTTGCTATTGGGTCGCTCATCGACGGTGCTCAGGGTTGTTGTTGTTTTTGTTGTTGTTTTTGATGTTGTTTTTGATGTTGTTTTGCTTATGGTTTTCCCCGTGGCTTTGGTGGTACTACTCGTAACGGCAGTTGTTGTTGTTGCTCTCGTACGTTTGGCGTGCTGCAGCTGCTGCTGCTCAACTTGGACGCTGTCATCCTGCTCTTCATCGCTCATCTCGCACATATTCAGCGCCGTCTGCAGCTTCTTCATCTCCAGCGGCGCATCCGCTGTGAAGATTTTCCAGATTAAGATTTTATTTGAGTACGTTCGATTTATTCACTTACCACCCATGTGATCCATGCTCTCCGGTTCGTTGATAATGGGCACAACGCGATTTATGGCCGTCTTCTGCTCGTTCTGCATGAAGAGCGATGTGGTCGCTATTTGACGCAGTGCCTCCATGCCCTCATTGAGCATCTTGCTCTGGCTACGCTTGTGGGCAATAGGATACTTTTGCTTTTTGGGGTACGAAAAAGTAAAATAAAAACAATTTAATAATTTAGCAAAAATATTTGGGCAACGCCTTGGAAGAGCTAGGAATTCCGTGGAAATCTTTTTTGAATAGGTTTTAATTTTTAAATAAAACTCTATGTAAATACAAAAAAAAATGATATTAAACAAAACAACTAAAAGCATATATTCTTTAAAAGATTTGTTCTTTTAATGGTTCTACGAAAATAAATACATCTCTTTTGAATCCCTACTCAACTGTTTCAATTAATTTATAAAATATTTAAGAAAACAAATAAATAATTAAAAAAAAAACAGCTGACTGAAAATACTAAAAGATTGAATATAAGTTGTATGTCATCAAACAATTATTTAAATTATATATAATTTTTGTATTTGTTTTGGGTTTCCATTCAATTGGTTGAATATTGAAATTTAAAATGTAGGAGAATTCTAAAAGTACTAAGAATTTCAAATAAATTATATATATTTTTTTAAATTATTAAACCTTTTAACAAAATTATGAAGCCTGGTTATATTATATACACAGTATTGTTTAGTTTAGTAAGAAACGTTTTTTTTTTTGGAAATAATTAAAATTATTATCGAAATAACTATATATGTATATATATATATAAATATATGTATATATATACAAATGCATAATGTATAATAAAAATAATAATAAATAGAAAGTCTTTCATATTCATTAAACAATAAAAAGTAGAGATCTATGGACAAAACAGAATGAGAACAATTCGTACGCACTTGTATAGAGGGTCCACGAGCTATAGAAACCCGTTTGCTTTCATTTCGCAGCAGGGAGGTCGTGTGATCTGCATCGATTTTGTTAGCATTTTTCTTGCCCGCCTTCTTGCTGGATGAGATGCAGTGTGATGGGCAAATGCAGAAGAGAATGCGTAAAATGCAACAGATCAGACCCAAGCCTAAATAAGAGAAGCTCATGTGAGTGAGATTATAATAATTGAATCGATTTAACAGGTATATTGCCTATGAGAGAGGGCCCTATAAGTCTTAGCTCCACTGTTTTAAAACCCTTCTCGCCGGTGCCTACAAATGCAATGACCAGGCCCAGTGCGACAGTGCCCAGGCCCACATAGAGAAAGGCATTCGCAAAGGTGCTGGGTCCACGTAGTACGCCCAGGAAATCTTCATCGTCCGAGGAGCCGCCCAATGAGGCATCTTGTATCTGGCAATGGAAGTGAATATATTTTATTAGTGGCCTATACTAAAGATGTGTTAAGAGTACGGTCCCGAATCAAAATAATTGAGATATTTATCTTATGATATGTTAGTAAAATGACGTTAAGTTTATTTAAGAAAAAAAAATTTAATTTGTATTTATAGGCATTTCCAGGAAGAGACAATTTTGATGTTCGATCTGAGAATGATATTAAATATATGTTTAACAACATAAAGGAACAATTTAATTAAAAGTAGATATTTAACAAATACATATAGAAACTCATATCATTCTGAAAACTTTTTCATACCCTTGCAAAAGGTATTATAATTTTGTCGTGAAATGTGTAACGCATAGAAGGAGACATCTCCGACCCCATAAAGTATATATATATACTATATCGATATAGCCATGTCCGTCTTTCAGTCTGTCTGTTTCTATGTAAACTAGTCTCTTAGTCTTAAAGCCATCGTCATGAAACTTTGCATACGTCCCTCTTTCTGTTGCATGCAGTACATATGTCGGAACCGGCTGAATCGGACCACTATATCATATAGCTGACATAGGAACGATCGGTCGAAAATGATTTTCTTGTATGAACAACTTTTTGTTTATCAAGATATTTTGACCAAACTAGGCATTTATTAGTTTTACTATGCTCCCCATATATACATATGCAACATCCTATCAACATCGGACTACTATATCATATAGCTGCCATAGGAACGATCGGTTGAAAACGAAGTTCTTGTATGAACAAATTTTTTCAAGATATCTTAACCATAATCGGCATTAACTATTTTTCCTGTGCTTCTTAGATACGAGCAAATGGTATTAAATCTTCGGTGTGCCGAAGATAGCCCTTCTTTCTCGTCTTTTTGAAGACATACAAATATCATGTGCGTCTTCCTAGATTTGCCATATATCAGTTCAAAATGTTTTTATTTGGTATTAACAATGATTCTTAATTATAGTTGCATATTTCTTAGGAAAAGTACTCGGTCAAGTTATAAATATCTAAATGAAATGGTTAAAAATGGGAATGAAAATCGCAGATAAAATGAAAATGTTTTTAGCATTTGGGGCTTGATAAGGAAAATGGTCTCTGGTCTCATATAAGTAATGTATATTCTGCGCCTATATATCCTAGTTTTCAATGTACCGAACATTTGCTCAGAACGAGGCGTGATCGAAAAGAAAATATATAAATTATGCATTTGAAGGGGGAAAGTTGTGGGTGTGTGCGTGTGAGAGAAGAAATGGAAGAAGGAATTAATTGCACAGATTGCGGATTGTTTTTATTGCAGATATATAGGGATAATATATATATAAATATATGTATATATATATTGAGAGATGTGTATGTACACAGCGCTATGTGAGTGGCTCTACTTGATGAACTTACTCGATTGCGCTTCACCCAGCGTCTGTGGCAGGTGGCCTGTTGCTGTTGCTGCTCCTGTACGCTGCAGCGGCGGCCCCGCTCCAGCCAGGCGGCCCGTCCCTGAGCGCACTGTGTGACCAATGGGGTGGGATCAGTGGTGATCGGGTGTGATCAGATAATCGATATGTGGACAACGAGCACGAAACATCAAAGGCGATATCGATATCGATTACAGCGATGACGACGTATACAACACGCGCGGGCAGGCGCAGATACACGAGCACACGCATACACACACCCACGCACACACACACAAGGAGCGTGGTGTGGTGTTGTTGTTGGTGTTTTGGTGGGTAGTTGTGGTGTTGGTGGTGGGCAAATGCATAGAAAATATATACAGTTACTGTGGTTAGTTCAACTGTGAGAGAGCAGCGCTCAGTGAATTTTATAATTCTTTCATTTTTCTTTTTTTTTACTATTATATAAATATTTATTCAAAAGCATACAGGAAAACAAATAAAATAAAAGTACAAAGTACAACTCATCTCACAAGTTTAACGACTAATGCAAAAGCAATCAAATTTTGTAATTTCGATATAAGATTTCAATTCAATTTCTCAATTCAATATTCAATTTCATAAAGTTGTTTGCGGTATTGGGTTACGAGTTCGCCATCAATAACAACAACAATATAAAATAATAATAATAGAAAACACTGAGCAGCCAATTACAAAGACTTCGATTCAGACTATTTTATTTGATTTTTCACAGTATTTTGTTTATTTTCTTTTTAACACACATAGAGTTACGTAGGAATAAACAGTAAGCAGTTTAGGAAACAGTTATGTAAACAGAAATTGAAAAAACACACCAAGTTAATTGGAGGATAGTTTGGTTAGGTAGAAAGAGTGAAAGTTGTCAACACATAAAAAAAATATAAATAAAATCGAAATATTATAAAGCATTCAGAACTCCATATGCTTATGTATAGTTTATAAAAATTAATTCTCATGCCGCAGCAGCAATATTATAAATGGCATATATCATTCACCAAAACAGTCATGCAACAAAATGAATTAAATTATAGCGAACACCCCCATTTGTAAGAGCCTGTTGACCACTTTTGGCATACAGACTTAAAAAACCTAGCTATAATATCTTAATAAGAGTTTTTCCATTAAATTATTTGATTCAATAAATCAGATCATGTTTTTATAAAAATGATAAATTATAAATGCTAGTTATATTGAAAAAATGGTAAATTTTGCATGGCAGGGCCCTTAAAAATAGTAATTAATAAATTTAACAAACGAAAGCATTTAATTGAATAAATGAAATAAAAACTAAAGACAAATATAACAAAATAAAATTATATTTAGCAAATTGTTTCAGTTTTAATCAGTTTGAACCACTGTAGGCAAAAACGTAATATCCATGATATACGATATATGGTTTATTTATTTGGGTTTTAAAGTAAACTCGATGCTAAATCTGACAAACAGAAGTCAATGCCATTTTAACCTGCACAAACACAGACACACACATTAAGACACACTAATGAGTCGCGACTCGTGGGCGCTACAAACCTCAGAGTCATAGACTATACGATAAACAAGGCGCTGCTTCTAAGCCAGCTACTAAATATGCTGCGTGTTAGCAATAAGACAAACAAAATGACACACACACTCGTATGTACAGAGAGTGTCCTATATACAGCACTAACAGATATATAGGTGTTGCTTGTGTATATATGTATGTCATATATAGCATTTGGTATATGTGAAAGCCTCAGGTTGCACGCTCCACTTTGCTTTGAGTTTTTTAAAGGTTTTGTTTATACCCTGTACCCATTTAAAATATGTTCGGAAAAGAGAATAATTATGGAGGAAAAGGTTTTACTTTTTTTTATTTTAATACTGCTCTATATTTTTGCCAAATTCAATATTAGGTTCTATATAGTATACGCAGATCGAAAATATATACTTATTAAAGATGCTTCATCACATTGAGCAAAAAAGAAAGACTAAAATTTTTTAGAAAAATAACCCTTATGATTTTAATATATTCGACAGTTGTTTCTTATCCCAGCATATTTCATAATGATCGGACAAAAGGCAAAAAAGTGAATTAAGAATACATTTTGTATAGTGCAAGATGTAGAGAAGTAGCATAGCCGCTGACTATAGTAACGAGCTTGCGATGGATCTAATTGTACAGGGTATCATTAAGTCGAGAAGCATTACTTGCTTTCGTTACAGTTTCGGTTTCTCGCTTCTAGTTTCGTTTGCTTTTCATGTGCAAAATCGCAGTCACATGGACTCTATCGATCGGAACTGTGTGGAACTGTGTGTAGTTCCCTGACTGAGTGCTACATATAAACTGTTACTGTAACTGCCCTTGACTTGTTGTAGTTGACGTTGTTGTTGTAGTAGGTGTAATCAACAATTTGCGACGCTGATTGACGAATGACGCCCGGCGCCAGCAATTCTCTGCCCCATAACTAACTAGCACGCATTCACGCAGTGAAGCGACTGGGGCACTGTGGCGGGGGCTTTGATAAACAAGTATAAACAAAATAGTGTTTCTGAATAGTTGAACCTATATACATCTATATACACCTACTGGAGACTACCTGGCAAAAATATATTCTTACTTTGCAGTCAATTTATAAAAAAATATATGTACAAGAATATTTTAAATATATACCTTTCACTTGCCAAATCGAACACGCTAGATGTTCATTAAACTTTAACCTTTGGGACCCAATCGCTAAATATAATTAAAGGCCCACATCACAGGCTCATATATATATACATATACACTGTATTCAGTGTGTACACCCCTCCAGCTAACGCTTTTAGTCCCTAATCCCCCAACTCAGCTCTTTTAATCGCACGCAACGCTGCCAAAATGTTGTAGAAATAACTTACAAAAAAAAGAGAACCCGCCAAATAAAATTTGTTAGCTTTAGTTAGATTATGTTACTAGCCATTGTTGTTGTTTAGGGACAAAACGCTAATGAACAGCGCACATGGCAGCCATTCGAAGCCAATCTGATGCCTTCAGAGTAGAAGCAGCAACAAAATTTGATGTTGAGTGTTCAGCGCTTTTATGGCAAATCGAAGTACGGCTACAAACACGGTCAAACTGGCAGTTGTTAACTCCAAAATATAATAGTTTAAATAAATTGCTTCACATTTAGTTTCGAAAACTATTTTCAAACAAAAAAAAAAAGTAAAGAAATCGAAATTCTATCTCGACATAAATGGAAATGATTTTTGTTATGTTGGTCTTCCATTGATCTTAAAATGCGCTTTCATTTTAGAAAATATTTATTACGATTTTATAATGAACATTTTTTTTAATCCTTATTAAATGCCAATAAAAATAATGTAATTTCAGACATAATGTTAATTATATACAAAAATTATTAAATATTTTCTATAAAAGAAGTGCAAAAGTTGGCTTATTTAAAACAAAATTTAAATCAGAGCGTGTTCATTTACACTATCGTATAATCCAATTACGGATGGCCCTCTATTAAAAGAATTTCAAGATCTAACTGTGCCAAAACTTATACAAATTTCTGTATTTTAAAATGATTGGATAAATCATAAATTACTATACTTTTTAAGAAAGTAATACATTTTGCAATAAATTATTATCCTTTTTAGTAATACACATCGCCCATACATGCTTCGCTTAGATCCGTTTGACTTTGACTCTTATAAAGTTGCTAGAATTTTTGGAGGTATTTAAGTAATTGCAGCGAAACTTTTTTTAATTATATGTAATTAGTTGTTGGTTTGGAATTGGTTGCCTGCTTTGAATATCGTTATTGATTCGTGGCATAATAATAAATTGTTGCGGCGCCACAAATTAGCATGTACTTGGAACCCAACTTCTGGACGCAGGCAGGAAATGTCGGACATTAACGACAGCAATTTACTTTGGTTCATTGATTGTTCCGATTGCTTAGATTGTTTGGGGGGCTCTGTTTGCTGTTAACTTGTTGTTAATACAAAGATAGCTATAACATGAACTGGGCTTAATTTAAGATTTATCATTAATCATGAATGCGACTGTCAACATGATAATTTAGCTGACAATTGTAAATGTAATCGAAACCGGAAGTTGAATTTCGTATTCAGTGTCTAGCACTGGAAATTAATTAGTGTTGTAAAATACAAATGGCAAATTGTAGAACAGAGTATGTTTTGAATTGAACAAACGGATTTTATGGCAAGGGTATTTGCTATGAGCCATAATATACCTAGTATTCCAACAAATTTCAAACTAAATAGAGTCGTTTTAAAGTCCTTATGATAAGTATCACAAGTATCAGCCTAGTGTTGTAAGACGGCTTTTAAATTTTAGCAACACTAGCCATTTTACTAGAAAATTATATAGCAAGAAAAATGGCGTTTATATATTAGGGAAGTTACACATCAACGCAAAGAAAAACCTTTAATACTTAAGTAATACTATATATTAGTTTATACATACACAGCTTTTTATTTTTAAATTGTGAAATCAATGTTATAGTCGAGCTTTCAGTTCCAATCTGCTGTTATACTGACTGCTAGTGTCTATGCTTGCCACAAAACTGGCAAATAAATAGAAACAGATATTTATATGGACAGAGTGGATAACTTATGCGGAGCACATGACCCAGCATGCATAAAGAAGTGCACGTCTATGTCGGCAGCTACTAACTGGAACTTGGCATGTGTGCAAATTTTATTATGCAGTTAAACTCGACTCGAGTTGAGAGTTAGACTGAATCAAGTGAATAAAGTAAAGCACTTGAAAAATCAACAATCACAAGCTCTGGCAGAGGCAGAGCAGCGTACAGGTGGGCTCCCAGCCAAGCTCAGGTTGCAGCTAAAAAGTTCGCAGGCTAATGAAAAATGCAGTTGCAGCAAGAGGGAGAGGAAGGAGCAGCAGCCGCAGCTGGCACTGACACACGGAAAAGCGCATAAAGAAGGAAAAATCTACGAGTGGCGCTTAGACAATGCAGCTGAGCAGCGAGGGGAAGTGAAAGTCGGGTGCTGAAGATGCTGCTGCCATTCAGGGACACAGACATTACAGGCAATTTCACTAAATGACACTGAACGCCTTGCCTCTCC